TAACGATCCACAGTTCCATCAGGTTTCCTCTTTATTTTATATACCCATTTGCAACCAATTGGGCGTTTGTCAGATGGAAGAGATACTAAAGACCATGTATTGTTTCTTTCTAATGCTTGAATTTCAGCATTCATGGCATCTTGCCAATGAGAATAAGAAGCAGCTTGCTTATAAGTAGTAGGCTCAGTTTCAATGGTTATGTTGTGACAGAAAATTTGATGTGAGGGAGAACATTTTGAATAGGAAAGAGAACTAGAAAGAGGGTAATTGGGAGAAGAAGCAATACCTGAAGAACGATTGGTATGTGTCACACTTGATAAGCCACAGTGAAAGTCTGTCAGATATTGAGGTCTTGCTTTAGTTCTTGTAGAACGTCGAATAGGTTGATCATTGTTATCATGATTAACAGAATTATGAGTAATAGAGTCATTATCTGCAGAAACAGGTAATACAATGGAAGAAGGTATAGAAACAGGACTAAATTGATGAACATCATAGTGAGTATTGGATTGTTGGATACGAGAACAAATGGGATTTGATTGAATATGTGAATTAATGTCATGAAAAGGGAATTGGGATTCATAAAAGATAACATTTCGTGAGATAAAAATGTTATTCGAATGAATATCAAGAACTATATAACCTTTGGTGCCTTGCTTATACCCAAGAAAAACACATTTTCTAGCTCTAGCATCAAATTTGTTTCGATTGTGAGTGAGTGTTGAAGCAAAACATAATGAACCAAAAACTCTGAGATGGACAAAAGATGGTGGAGTGCTAAACAACAATTCATATGGTGATTTTCCTTTGAGATTAGGAGTGACTAATCTGTTTATGATGAAAGCAGCATGACTAATACAATAGCACCAATAGATCCGAGGAAGATTTGATTGAAAAAGGAGTTCACGACCTGTGTTTAACAAGTGTTGGTGTTTGCGTTCCACAATTCCATTTTGTTGTGGACACTCTACACAAGAAGTTTGGTGTATGATACCTCTTAAATCATAGAATTCTTTCAAATTAAATTCTGGACCATTATCTGAACGAATGGTTTTGACAACTGTGTGAAATTGAGTTTCAACAAATGAAATAAAATTGCGTAGATGGGATCTTGTTTCAGCTTTGGTCTGCATTGGCATAACCCAAGTAAACCGTGAGTGATCATCAACCAAAGTTAAAAATATCGATAACCACGAATAGATGTTAAAGCATGAGGACCCCATATGTCTGCGTGTATAAGATCAAAACAATGTAAAGAATCTGAGACACTTAATGGAAAAGAAAGACGTTTCTGTTTTGAATAATGACATACATCACAAATGTTGATATGATCATTACAAGGAAAAAAGGAAAAACTTTTGACATAGCATTTAAAATGGAAGATGAACAATGACCCAGCCTATGATGCCAGATTCTTGAATCAGCTACAATACTGTTGCAGCTTTCATTTGATTCAATCTGTTTATTCTGATCAGAACTTTCAAGTTGTGCTATAAGAGTGAACAAACCATTTTGTTGGTTAGCAGTACCAATCATCCTTCCTGTAATGTTCTGCATAATAGAGCAGGTTAGTGGGCGAAAAATCACTTAGCAGTTTGAATCACGTATTAGTTTGGTAATTGAAATGAGATTTACGTGAAATTTGGAAACATATAACACATTTAACAAGGTAAGAGAGGATGACAGATGAACATTTCCACAATGAGTGGCAAATACTTGAGAGCCATCAGGTAGTTTTATAGGAATGAGATTAATTTGGCTAGGACAAGAAAGAAAATCAAAACAATATGTGATATGATCTATAGCACCAGTATCAAGAATCCATTGAAAACTTGTTTTACCTGAATTGGATGACACATCATTGGTTTGAATCATATTGGAATATACCACATTCTCTTTGGGATTCTGAATTAATCCCAACAAGCTTTGATATTGGTCTTTTGTAAAATGAAACTGATCTGCATTTGTACTCTGTATTTCATCTCCATTTTCTGCACAGATGAAAGGATCATCATCATCTTGAGTAGCAAGATTAGCTCGTCGATTCACTCTGTTCTTGAAACCTGGAGGGTAGCCATGCTTTTTAAAGCATGTTTCAATCGTGTGATTGGTGCGGCCACAGTGTGTGCATACTTTCCCAGGGTTGGATTTTCCTCTTCCATAATTTGATCTACCTCTTCCTCTATAGGAGTTTTGACCACAAAACTGTGGTTGATCATTTATATTCAAGAATGCCTTTGCTTGAACATTTGTTTCAATTCTTATTTGTCTTTCTTGCTGAGTAACTAACGAAAAGGTTCGATTGATATTTGGAAGTGGCTCCATCAGCATAACTTGGGATCAAACGTGTGCAAACTGATCATTTAACCTTCTCAAGAATCTTATTACACGATCATTTTCTCTACTATCTTTTGCGTGTGACTGCATCATGATTCCACATGCACAATTTGGAGTACATTTACACTTTGGCAATGGCTGCAACATGTCAAGTTCATCCTAAAAAGTTTTAAGTTTAGTAAAGTATTGAGTTACATCATTATCACCTTGAGTTAATTGATACACATCTTCTTGAATATCAGCAATTCTGAAGACATTTGTCTGAGAGAAGCGTTCTTTGAGATCTTTCCATACGTTAGATGCACTTTCCATCCATACCACTGAATGTATAATGGATTCTGCAATGGAATGGTGTAGCCACGATAAAACCATTGTATTGCAACGATCCCATGCCAAGAACAGAGGATCGAATTCTTGAAGAGGAGCTGAAATGGTGCCATCTACAAATCCGAGTTTATTTTTCGAACGTAGTGCCATCTTCATGGATCGAGTCCATGTATGGTAATTCTTACCATCAAAAACTGAGGATACTAGCACCAATGAGGGATTCTCATTTGGATGCAAGAAATACGAACTTTGATTGTTTTGAACATCCATCAACGGAGAAGTTCAAGAAGAATTCTGGCTTATTTCTGGTTGAGCCATTTACTCTATCCGAGGACTTACTGTAATGCGGAAGTAAGATTGGAGATGGTGGACAATGAATACCAGAGCTCTATGGAAGCTCTGATACCATAAAAGTAGAGAAAAGATAAGGAAGAAAAGAACTGAAATACATTCTTCATTGATTAATCTTCTGATACATGAAAATGACTATTTATACTCACTGTCTAATCAAAGAAAGCTAAAGAAAGATTACAACAGAAATAACAGAATTAACTATAAGCTTAACTAACTAACTGATATAACTAACAGTGAAAATGATTACTGGTAATAAAAGTTGCATTAATTACAACTTAGAAAATACATCTTTGGGGAGGGATGAAGAATTTTAAATGTGACTAAGTTTTGACTCAGAATTTGTCTCATAGTCGATTCAAAGAGTTAAAGCTTATGGAAATACTTAAGGGACCGACTCGCCTCAGAAAAGTAATTAGAGTATATATATATATATATATATATATAATCTCAAGCAAATTGAGATTAATATTAAACAGTCTTAGTCAATAAAATTGCACAATTATGCATTATATGTATGATATGTAATGCATATGTGGCATCTCAATTATTTTTTATAATATCTTCATTTCATTTATATTAAACAAACTCCAAATTGTCTTCAAGTTATCCTAATTCTATTTTTATTTTTATTAAGGTGCTCCTTTAAGACACATGTAAAAGAGTTGAAAATAAATTAAATAAAGAGTAAATTTTCAATATCTTGATAGAGTAAAAAGAAAAAAAAATTGTCTTCTTTAAAAAATTCATATAAATAATAAATAATTATTTTAACATGTATCTTAATATTACACGTTATTGGCAAACACATTAATTATAATAATGCAGAATCCATTCATATTGTGATTTACATACACAGCCAAAAGGAGACCAGGATGAAGGAGAACATAATCCACGTTATCATTGTGCCTGCCGACGTTATCATTTTGTTGAAAAGAATAATTAGCCATGTAGAATTCAAGCGTAAATAAATGTTGGCAAACCCAAATTCTAGATCCAATGATTGTGTTTGGCTTATTCGGCTTATTCCATATAATAACATATTTAAGGATAAAATATTAAGTTTATCTTTTCACGTTTAATTTTTCTTTTCTTTTCATAACCTTAAATCACGTTCTCAATTAATAGTGAGAAGAAAGAAAAAAGATAAAAGAGTAATCTAACATTATGATGAGAAATAGGTAAAACGAGCATAGAAAAAATAAATTCTCCCTAATATGTATATCAGAAAAATATTTCTAAAGTTATTGTAGATAAGTTATCTACATTTACTCTTAAAATGACATAATTTCAAAATTAAAAATTATAATTATAATTATAAAGACTATAATAACCTTAAAATAAATTAAAATTACGAAAAACATCATGATTTCTGTCCCAAAACGACATCATATTAAACTTATTGCAAATAACTTATCTACCGTGACTGCTGTAGAAAAAGTAAACCGATATATATTATATGGGTTTAGTATTTGTCAGTTTAAATGATATAAGTTATGTCATTTTAGGAGAGAAACAGACACAGAAAAATAGAAATCATGGGAGAGAGAAAATGTGTGATTTTTTTTTAATTTAAAATTTAAATAAATTTTTTTTCTGTCTCTGTCTCTCTCTTAAAAGGACTTTCTTAAAGAATAAATATTTGGTACTACTGTTGTACCAAAGATTCAGTGCATCCCACCAATGAAAATATTACATATAAGTTAAAATATTTTTTTCTATCAAATTTTTTCTCTCTCATCTGATATGTAAGGCTCTCATTCATGGGATACACTGAAACTAAGTACAGTAGTAGTACCAAAGATTTATTCTCTCTTAAAAGAACAAAGTGTTATGTCATTTAAAATGAGAAATATTTTTTCCATATTATATTAAATGTTTGTGCTTATTACCTACACTCTTCGAATTGCTTCATCTGACAAAAATCACAAAAAGACAGATATCTAAGATTCTGTTAAATAGAACATATCAGCTTTATTTCCATTCGGTCTCTACTCCAATCAAAAATTTCACACAGCAAATCCATATACAAGTCAAATCACAAGAATCCACCACACAAATATTTATCCTCCAACCGCCGACAGATTAAAAAGTTTATGACTTGCAACACCATGACAACGAAGAAATTTAAAATGGATCCAAAAACTTATACCATTTCTACAACAATTTGACCTCTACATATCAAATACCAACTTAAAGAAGAAAAACAAAATTAGTATGATTATAAGGAAAAACGCACAGCTCCTTACTGTACACCCACAACCCTTTACTATTATATATATTTCACAAGCATTAAAATGTGAACAAAAATCATAATCCTGTTGAGTTACCCAATTTGGTTTCGGTATATAATTCCTAATTGAACTTCCTAATTATGCAGCATCACGAGTACTAAAACCATGTGTAGGCCTTCAAAAAATGGTTCATCAAGATTACCATTCTCCTTATGAGTTTTGACCCTGGCTCATAAACTGTAACAAAATGTGGTTCCTTCTCATTGTCTTCCCATGATTACCTTTTCCCGCAACATGATTGAAGAACGAGAAAGAGCTGACAGAGTACATTCAGGGATTGGTTTTTGACTTCTGCTCCATTTACATGTAACGATCAACACTATTATCACCTGCATTACTTCTTTTCAAATTAAAAAGTTTGGTGCAAATCTCATGCAAATATGAATAAATAAAAGGGTAATTACACTGAACTCTCCTGAGGTTAGCACTCATTACACTGACACCCTTTTTGTTACTGAAATTATACACCCACATCTTTTACTTCATGCACTGCTATCACTACACCCAAATACCCTTTTTTTTTTTTTAAGGAATCAAGCATACCTCCCTTATTTTATGTATGGATTGTACACAAATTCCCCTTAAAAATAACAAAGCAATGGAGATGAGTGTAATTTCCTATATAAGGGTGACAGGATAATAAGCGTTAATCTTTAAGGAGGCATAATTTCCCCTAAATAAAAATACTAGTTTTGATAGGAATACCTTTTGCGCTTGCTCTTCAAGACAGTAGAAGTTGAAGGATTGCTGTGCCAATTCCTCTTTCTTTGATTGATAAACCAATTATTAATCTGCTTTAATTGCAAACCAGTTTCCTGCACCAACCTTACCTTATCTTCCTCCTGAAAAGCACTTAATTAAATTTAGCACAAATATTTGATGAGTGAGCTGTGGCATGTGAGACAGCAGATAATATTTATTTTTAAAAGGAGGCTGCTTGATAAATCTCGCGAAGTAGGTTCAATTTAAATTCGTTATATGAAAGCCTCACTCTGAGAAGTTCAGCAAAAACATTGTGGAATATATACTATTGTATGTAAAATCAAATTGCGGAGTTTATGTTTAAAAAGATTTTCCCAAAAATGATGCAATGTGCTGATACTGAATTCTTATTTATCAAACTTACTGTAGGGTAAGGCCACTTGGAATGTGATTGCCACCAAGCTTTAAGGACAGAGGTTGTGTCACCAGGAAGTTTCCCAGCTCGTCTCTTGCGTAAAATTTCCTCTCTTATGTCCACAATTTTCTCCTTATAACCCTGTATAATTTATAAATATAAAATAAAAAAGAAGTTAGTCATATGGGAAGAGATTAAAAAGAAGGGGAGATGAAAAGCCATCAACATCCCTAACCTGTTTCAATTCATGCTTTAATTCTTGTCTTACACGCTCCATGAGGGACCTCTCATTCTCTGTAGGAATAAGAGGGCCAAATCCCATGTTATCTGAGCCGTCAAAACTACCATCAAACAGATTAACATCACTATCTATTTGTTCATCTTCGTCATCAGACATTGTTGCCCCTGTACCTTCTCCGGGTGAAACTCCTGTTCATCATGCAGCATGTGAGAAAAATTATCAGTTTAGTACTCATCATTTTGAAAAAGATTTTACTTTGCCTGTTTAATTTGTGCACAAGATGTTGGCTAATTGAACCAAAAGGTTAAAGACTTTGTTCAGAGAACACAATAGTCAGGAATCGAAGAACATGGTAGACATATGGACAACAGGCCAAAGCATTATGATTTCTAAAATACTTTATTTAAACACTAGAAACTGTTATTCTTCAATCTGTTGCAAAGTTGCAATGCATGCCAGTTTAATAAATCTTCACTATATTCTTATATATATATTTCAATGTTAATAGAGTTACATAAGATTAAAAGTTTTTCCAAACCCATAGACCATATATGAGAAGAAAAAAAAAAAAAGTTAATTCATGTAGCCATGCACTTCCTCTTAGTATGTCAACCATCTTATTAACTGATACTTCACCTTGCCACGAAATCTGAACATGCGGTTACAACTCACTAGTACTGCAGGTACAATTCCTGGTTTTGAGAACTCAAGTCCTCTAAATTTGAATCATTTGACAGAAACAATCATGTCTCAACCTTAGACCTTATAGTGAACCATAAACGCACCATCACGACTTATTCCTTTCATTCCCCCTACTAGAAAAAACCATTTTTCTGGACATTACTCATAAATAACTAAAAATTGTCACTGTCTATGCTTTGGTGAGTAAATCACTTCTTGGTTCCTTGATAGCAGGAACTTTACACGGATAAAGAATTTCAACATTTAAAAGTATTTTAATCATAATATTACAAGAGACCAGCCAATTCTCAATTGCCAGCAACAGCATAATTAACGGAACACACAATAGACAAAAAGCTGATTAGAAAATAATTTGGAACAAGTTATTTTCATTCTATCATGCAGCAAGCCTTTTTTTATTCCAAGATGCAACGATTACTTATAAATGACACTTTTTTGCACCTGTTAGACTTTGTAAGGACTGCTCTATCTCCCAACAAGCCATTACTGCTTCCATAGCATGAACACGGACATGTTGTTGTAATTGTTCTTTGAAGGAACAGAGCAACAAAATATAATGCGACTGCAACATTAAGCAGGAAAATATCAAGATCGTAACTTTATCATATCTACTAAACTTCTCTAGCACCAGCCAGTTTTGTCCACCATGACAAAATAAAAACAAAAACATTATATTATAATAAAGATTGCATGGAATATGCTGATCCTAAATAGTTCATTGTTGCAAGAAATTTCTTCACAATATTACTTAAGATTAGCTTAATTACGTTCCAGTCGCCACAATTTCTTGAAGAAGTTTCAAAAGAGGAAGCTTAATGAACAAGGAAATAATAGAAACAAACTATTGCTATTGCTAAATTAGTCATGAAAGAAGAATATTACAATAATATAAGGATGCGCTTGGTAGAAGAAAATGTAGAAGATACTCAATAACTGAAAAGACAACCTCATAAGCCCAAAGCAGTTTATTAAATCATCCTAATTATATAGGTTAGAATTCAAATACCAAATTCAGCATAGCATCGAGCTCGAAAACCATCTCTAAAAGTCAAATTCGAACCATTTGCTTCCTATTTTTATCTTTCATTCAATTCACAACCACCAAACATTAAAATGAAACATCTCACACCCTCATTTCTCTTTAATTCCTCTGTTTGGCCGAGCAACCTCTGCATCATGTCTCTAATCTATTCCCACTTGAGCAATCACCAAAAAAGACATTGGAACCAAAGGCCATGAAACAAGGCAATTGCATTTAATGTTTCTCATGTTATACGAGATAAATTTATCTCTTACACACACAAAAAATGTGTGGATCCCATGTTTTCTCTTTCTATGAGAGAATACCCCACTAGGGGTGTTCGTGAGGGATTAGTTTTGAAGCAAAAATCATTTGATCCAAATTCTTTTGTTTGATCATTTAATCATCCATTTGATTTGGATTTTTTTTCTTCAAATTTGATCCAATTTTATTCGATTTGGATTAGATCGATTTTCGGTTAGATTAGATCAATTTTCAATTTTTCACAAAACATAAAATTTCAACTATACAAATCACTAGCATCAAAATGAAGTCATACAAAGTTACAAAACACTTGAAAATTCAAATCTTCAAATTAAAACAAGTCTTAAAACTCATGAAGAGTTAAAATAAAGTAATAGGCAATAAAAAACTAAAATAAGATAGTTTACTATCAAAGGAGTAAGTGAGTAAGGGTTACTGAATTAGGAAAAGAGCATTAGCGGAATTTTAAAAATAATAAATACATAATACATTAGATCGATTTGAATTGAAGCAGTTTTCACCAACAAAATCGAAAACAGATTCAATCCAATTAAAGTATGCGATTTTTTTTCAGTTTTTTAGTTCGGTTACCGTGTTCGGTTGATAAACACCGTAGACCACACACATTTTTATACATGTGTAGAAAATAAATTTATCTCGTATAATATGATAAACAATAATCCCATTCAAATTATGATTTGCACTATAAAGTGAAAGTCTTTAAATTTAAGGCCACAAAAGCAGTTAATTTTTTATTTTATTTTTTCTTCAGCCGCAACATTAAAAGGGTTTATCGTCACGAGATAAATTTATCACCTACAACATCCAAACGATGTGGTTTTGAGGGGTTGCAAGTGATAAAATTATCTCCCGAAAAAACATTTTGCCATAATAAAATGCACTCCAATTTCATAACTGACACGCCAGAAAGCCAAATAATAATTTATTTATTTTTTTGGTATACAGCCAAATAATAATTTAAAAAAGTGAATTAACCCAAAACAAGGAAAAACAAATTGTCAGATTGTTGTGCCAATTAAGAAATAAACAGATAAATTAACATCATACCATAAACTGGTCGAGTTCCTTGTCATCCCCAACCATGTTCTGAGCCCCATGTCCGAAAGCCGAGTACTTGGCCACCACATTCTGCGACTGCGCCAGCTGAGCGTCGATCCTCGGCAGCTGGTCCACCGGCGTGGCGATCCTCAAGCATGCCACGTGTGCCGACAACAGCTGTTCATAAAGCGGGTGCGCCAGAATCTCCGCCTTGCACCTACCAATCTGCCAGTTCGCCAGGCCTCCGCCGCCGCCGTCGACATCGCCGACCACTGCCTCGGTCTTGCTGCCGAGGTTGTCGCCGGCGGCAACCTTCAAATCTGCGGAATCGTGGGAAAAGGCGGCAGGCCTGCCGGCGACGATGGAGTCACCGGCGGCGGAAGCGACGTTATCGATGACTTCGCTGTGGTTTCGGTGGAGGATCGGGCGAGGGGCGAGCCATTGGCCGGAGGAATGGACGGCGGTGGATTCGGAAGCCGTGTGGAGGTTGAGGAAATTGGAAGCGTTGTTACCGTTGGGGGCGTTAACGTTGGTGTCGTTGTTTGCGTTATTGTTGTCGGTGTAGTGGGTGCGAAGGAGGGCGTTGTTGAGCCAATTAGGTGCGGTTTGGAGAGAGTGGTGTTCGTGTGGGCCGGAGCCACCGGCGTTAACGTTGGATTGCTCTGTCAAATGGTGGAATGGTAGGTCTTGAGAGAGGTTGTGGTTATGATACGCCATAAAATAAAACAAGAGAGAAAGAGAGAGCTATTGGTTCATGGTAGCAAAGGCGAGGTTAAAATATGGAGAAGCGAAGCCACAAAGAGACAAAGGGATTGAGAAAAAGAGAAAGTGCGTTTGTGTTTGTGTTTGTGTTTGTGTTGTAGGACTAGGAAATGAAGATAAATGGCGTGTAGTGCCTTTTTGGAGAGAGAAGAGAAGAGAAGAGAAGAAGGGAAGCGTAGAGTGTAGAGAGACTGGAGAGGGTAGAGAGGAAAAGAGAGGGAAGAAGGGACGTTGGCGTGCGTTACTCTAAACGGAAAAATATATCCAAACCAAGAATGTGTATTTATATAAATTGAATTGTTAAATATGTATTCACTCTAATTAATATATTTTTATTTGTTAATATTAATAATAAACTAAAAGTAAACTTAGTCTAAAGTATACTTATATAGCTATCCAATAATAAACATAGGGGAAAAAGTTTTCGATGTTATTTTAGATAATTTTATCTAATGTTCATCGAAATGACGTCGTTTTGGAGTTGAAAAATTAAAAAATTAGAGTGATAAAGACTATTATAACCCTGAAATAAATTAAAAATACAAAAATACCATGATTTTCGTCCCAAAACAACGTTGTTTTGATAAACATTAGATAAAGTTATTTAAAGTAACGTCACAACAAACAAACCCATAAACATATACTAATGGTTCAGAAAAATAGACTGCAGAGACCGATAAATGATTTCTTAAAAAAAAAAAAAAAAAAAAAAGTGACTTTCTGTGTAAAGCAAACTGCTTAAGTTTTTAGACAGATAATTTGCTTATTATAGTATAATAGCGAAGGTGACTATAGGGTTACGAATTTTATCTTCATAAATTTTATATTTTAGTGGAATTAATTTAGCATAAAATAGAATAAAAAATATGTCTGCGTAATATTTTTATTTCAAACTCAAAAACTTTTGCGTGATAACATATTAAAAAAATTAAAATAAAATTATTAAAGGCATACGCTTACAAACTTAAATATTGCTTGCTTTATCCTTCTCGGAATGTTATATTGGGTCAGCAACTGCTGCCTCCTACGGTTTTCTTTTCTTTTCTTTTTTCTAAAATTATTCATTAAAAGTTTAGCTTAATTTTAGGTTAAATTTTATATATATATATATATATATATATATATATATATATATATATATGAGGTAGGATATTCTTACAAGAATTAAAAGTCTTACACTCAATCTTGACCATTGATTCACTTGTATCCAATGTCTCACATTATTAAAAAATTAGAGCCTTATATATAAGTGAGATCAATGGACAAAGATTGAGAGTGTAACTTACACTGATGTAAAATAATCCTGACTATATATATATATATATGGGGAGGAATCCGTTTACAAACTTTTTTTACAAATTACATTAAGTATGACCCGTCATACACTCTTGATTGAAGTATGACCGGTTATACTTAGTGTAGTTTGTAGGAGTTTGTATATATATATATATATATATATATATATATAACATTTGTTTAGTTTTTATTCTTATATAAAGTTTTTAATTTAATCTCCATGTGTATGAATGTGTTCAATTTGATTTATGTTGTCTATTATTGGTTGTTTGTAGTATCACTATCACATATAAAAACAAAATTACTAAATTTTTTAATTCGGTCCCCGGAATTCATTATTGCTTCATTTTAATGTTACCTGTTATATCAATAATAAATGATGGGAACAAATCCAGAAACAATTTTATGTACGAGTACTGAATTTAAAAAAGTTGTTTAAAGAATAAATTGAAAAAGAATGTTAAGTATAATATTAAAAAAAAGTTATATATAAAAAGAAGGTTATTTTTACAATCTATTTTATAATATTTTACAATCATATCTTAACTGTTAATTCTGGGTTATTTGACCATTTTATCCCTCATTAATTAATTAATAATCATTTTGCCCTTGATTTGAAACTATCTACCAATCTGCCTCTCTTTAATCGACTACTTTGTATTTTTAATCGACTAAATGGTTGTTGGGAGATTTAATCGACTAAATCTCCCTACTTAATCGATTAAAAAATCATACTGACTTGTTTTCCTTTGTTGTCAAATATGGAGATTTAGTCGATTAAATCTCCCAACAGCCATTTTTGCCTGTTTTGGCCATTTAGTCGATTAAAAATATAAGGTAATCGATTAAAGACGGACAGATTGGTAAATAATTTCGAATCAGGGACAAAATAATTATTAATTAATTAATAAAGAGAAAAAGGGTGAAAAAGCCGTTAATTCCGTCCCTAACAATTATAGACAAGTTACATAATATGTTCCATAAGTGAAGGTGTGGCTCACAATGGCTAATAAAGAGGGGGAGGGGGTACAAGAAGGGAAAAAATATGTAGTTGTCCCTTTCTCTCTCCTCCTTCTTCTTTTCTTTCTCCTCTCTTCTCTCTCTAGCCGGCTCACATGTTCCGGGAGCACAAAATAAACGCTCACAAGAAGGAAGGGGAAAAAAAGGAAAAAGGTAAATTGATGGTAATAGTTAAAATTACACGAGCTCCGTGACTGAAAAAAAAATTATTTGTGACAATTATTTCAGTATTTCTTTTCAAGATAGGTGAAAATCAGGAAAATATCTTTAGCATTTTGGTAGAACTGAAGACTCATTACATGTTTTATTAAATTTGAAAAAAAAAATGTAATTGACTTTATTCATTTTACCCATCATTTTATAGTTATTGTCACTTAAATTTCATTTTTTCTTGTTTTTAATAAAAGAATACCTATTTCTGTAATACCAAAATATAATCGAAAATCAGGTTTAACATTTTAAGATTATCTACTATTTTGGTTCTATGTTATTTTTTTTTCTTTTTTTTTCAGAAAATGTTACAATTTAATAAAAAATAACTAAATTAAGTGATCTGTCACTACAAAATCAACACCTTTTTTGTAAAAAATTTATTTATGGATTAATTATAAAAGAAGTAATACTTGCTTAATTCTCTTATACAATTTACGAGTAGGGGAGCCAAAGAAAACTTCCTACAAGCAATACTTAAAAGAATAGGGGTTCGAATTTTTGAGAGTATATTTAGGCTTAAAATGGAATAATTGTCATATTATTCGATTCAGGATTAGTTTCAAACCTATGAGAATTTTTTTTTCTTGTTTGGATTGTGGGGATAACAATAATTGTCATATTTCTTGTTTCAAACCTACGGATATTTTTTTAATGCCTTTTCAGGTTATTATTGTTTGTTCGTTTCGAAGGGGGAAAAAAGAAAGAGGAAAATTATCAATTTTAGCATACTGATTATTGTCACTTTGTAGTGGATGGATGACAATTTTAACTTTTGACAAAATCAAATTAAGCTTATATTAAATTATTAATTCAATTTTTTTCATATCAATCAAAAAGGGTATCCATTTGTATAAAATAAAGATACAATGATACACGTTCTACATTATCAAATGATAATAGTTTAGTTGGCGTTAGAGAATTAAACATGAGACTAAAAGTATATGTTTGATTCTCTTCAATATTATCTTTAGAACAGATTTAAAATCTTAATCCAGAGATCCATAATAAATCAAACTAATCACACATCGATGAATCGATTAGAATATTAAAAAAAATGATACACATGCTGCTGTGTTTTGCGGCTACAGCCGTAAAGTATAAACTGTTTCGTCTACCAATACGAGTCCTATTGTCGCAGTCTAATGCTACTATGCTACTTAGGCGTTTTTGCAAACCTACGTATTTTTTGTATATTTCCTTCAAAAGTTCAAAATCATCAAATAGCACCTTAGATTTTATTAATTTATTTATGCAGTTTAAATTCCGTAGTATATTGTATAACAAACTGTATATAAATATATTTATTTCACAGAGTAAAAATAAAGTAGTTCACCAAATATATAAAGTAATAATAAATTTTTAATCTAAGATACTTCTACACTCTTAATTCACATTTTCCCAACTTTTTCAGCAAATCATAAATAATAATTAAATTAAACTTTAATTGTTTTGAAAAATAAAAATTATTTAGGTCAAAATGAACATAACCCCCTCAAACTGTAAATTGATTGTAAAAAAAAGAAGAAGTTGAAACCCTATGTTCATACTTAAAGTACATTCAAACATTTATTTACGGTTGAGATCGTGATGATTTTTATCAATACCCTCGTTGTATATGAGGGATGGATAATTACTAATATTAAAATAATTAAATAATTTTAGCTAAAAAATATATAAGTAAAGATATATTTAATTTTAAATTTTAACTAATGGACCGTTCACCCTACAAAACAATTTATTCATAAAAAACTATTAACATATTTCAAATGGGATTTATACTTATTATGTTACAGGAAATTATTGCTATCATGTTAGAGAGAGATTGATAACCGTGTTTTAATTGTTTTGTTTTTTGATTTTTTTTTTTTTAAGCAATGGGACTCACTGAAGTTGTCTCTGCAGGAAAATAAAATTGATTTAAATTCGAAATCCCATTTCAAATTTACCACAATTAAATTATTACTGAACGTATTAATATTATGATATATTTTAAATTAAATGAAAAGTAAATAGTTTTAGTTACATATTCGAAGGATAGGTTATTCTTAACATTTTTTTTCTTATCTTCTCTTATAATCACTTTATTATGATCGGATCAAAATCAAATCAATACAGTGACGAAGTCAGAAGATAAAAAACTCAGCTAATAAAATTCAGCCGGTACCAATGTTGCATTGTTTTTAAAAACTCAACCAGTACAAGCATGTACCATAATTTCTAAAGAAAATCTATAATATTTCTTAAGATCTCTGGTACCAAATGGCTCCACCACTAAATCAATGCTTTTTACTTGATATCATTTTGTAACTATTGATTTAATTTTGATCAAATAATAACAAAATTGGTTGTAAAAAATGATAAGAAAAAAAGTGATAAATATAATATTTCCCTATATCATGTAGATAAGTTTATTTTAACAATTATTATCTTTCAACATATCTTTAGAATATTATGTAGCACAGTCTCGTAATAGCTTTTATTTTTTTTAATAGTTTTTTATTTTAAAATTAACACATAATCCGTTATTATTGAAATAATATAATAATCTCAGAAGAAATAAGTTTTACGTACAATATTTTTTTTCTCACAATTTTTGTTTTTATTATATCATAATTAATATAACAACTCTCATTTAATTATAACTAAACGTGTTAATATTACACTATATTTTAAATTAAATGAAAAGTAAATA